CCTTCCCTTTTTTGTCTGAGTTTTCCATTGATACTGACTTTTTTTTAAGGAAAAATTGAGAACCATGCTTGAAAAGTGTTATATAAGAGCTAAGGAAAATTGCAAATAATACTAATACTACCACTAATATTACTAATAGTCTTTCTGTTGTTGTTTTTGTTACTAAATGCAGGGAAAGTTTGCCATGACATACACTCACTAAGATATGACTTAACCTCTGTTCTATTCCATAGTAGGCACAGTAAATCTGTGCAGCGGGGATTACTGGTATGGATGGGAGAAAAGGATGTTTGTCCTTAGAGAAGTTAGAATTAGCTACGAATTACCTTACCTGAATGTATCAAGCTCTGATTTTTCCTATTTTGTCCTTTTTGTAGACATTTGCCCTTTTGTACCATTTATGTGAAATCTGAGCAAAGTACTGGTATTCAGATGTTAACTGTTTTACTTCCATTTTGCACAAGCATGTAATTGTCTAAACACGGTGTAAAGTAAAGTAAAATCAGACCCTTAGAAATGCTACACTGACAGTCATGGGATAGCTTTAAAATGGGTATTTAGACTGTTTGCATATAGATTCCCAAAGCAACTTCTATAGAAATAAAATATTCAGTTTCAGTTGAATTCAGTAGGATTTAGGTGTCTTGCTCTGAACCTTCTGTGAAAATTCCATCTCTCATCCCTCTTCTGTATAGTTCAAGGAACAATTTTCTCTTGCATTTCTTCTCTTGAATACTTAATACAGCTTATCAGTTTGGAAGAGGGCAAAACGCAGAAACCATCAGGAAGCTTTTAGGACAATTCTTTTCTCTGAGTTATTTGATATGTCTAGCCAGCCAGATTTCATGTATTCCTCTCATGTCTTTCAGTGCACAGTTCCTGTCCTTTATCCTTTCTGATTTTGTAAGATTTCTGAGCCCCCTTGGTATATCACAGGAGGTTGTTAGGCAACCTGAATTTCCTAAAAAGATCTTTAGCCATGAGGTACTTGTGCAGCAAAACATTCAAGACAATTAATCCTTGCCTGGTTGACTGGAATGGGCATGTTCCCTAGTAACAAGGGACTGATTATGGAAAAGAACGAGGCTGCCTGCTTCACTGTTTCATTGCATTAAATATTTGAGATCTATACATCCCTTTCCCTCTGCTATCAAGGCAGAAGGTATGTAAATAATAGTAACATTGGGAAAATGCTACATCTTGCTGTCATGTGGGCAGTCATGAAGAGATGATGTTTTAATGGTGTAACTTTAAAACACGTCACATAATTTTTGGGATGACTCTGTTGTTTTGTAAAGTCAGAGACTGCAACATAGAAATTTATACAAAGTGCATGCACTTCAAACTCTGAAATAGGGGGTCACTGCTAGATAAAAACATTGGCCAAGGAAAAGGAAATTATGCGTGTTATGCATGTTGCAAAGGAAAATATAGCACAACTGTTGTCCAGGTTTTTCAGCTTTAAGTATCTCGTATATGTACTTTAAAGGAAGCGTGTCAAACGTATCTGTTCCTGTGGGGCTGGATTTGGCACAGACCCCCCTGCCCTCATGTCTGAGTGGGTGTCACAGTGACCACAGCCTAGGACCTGGCTCCAGCGAGCACTACATGCAGTGTGTATCCCAGGCAAGCCTGGTACAGTGTGTGGGTCAAAGGAGCAGCATCAAGGACTGGATTATGGAGCTCCACAAGCCATGTTTTGCATGCACTTTTAGCATACTAGGGCTCTTTGTTGTCCACATTTTAATAAACCATGCGCCCAACATTTGCAGTAAAAGGAGGGATATTACCATAAGTAGTTGACAGTTTCTCCTTCAAGTTCCACTTAATGAGGTGGCTGCTCAATGTCTATATGGAGAGTAGGGTTACTGTGAGTGATGGGCTCAGAATATTACATGTCCTTCCCCTGCCAGAAAAGACCTTGCTAATTTACAGATCTTCAGTATTTCTCTTGCCTGTTCATGTCTCTGTATTCTATTTCTCCTTTTCTTTTTCAGGAAATTAAAGGAATACTTTAAAATTCAGATTTATGGCTCTTTCACATTAGAGTATGCACATTTTTTTTCACTTTGAAAAGAGTAGATTTGAGATGTGGCTGCTGAAATTGTAATATTTATTGATTTGGGACAGGCTAAGAATTACAGGTCCAGTTTGAATTGCATTGGCAGGACTGCATGAGGAAGCTTCAAAGAGCTTGTATTTCTGGTGCCTAAGCGTAGTTGAGTCCTTGTCAAGTCCTCATTTCAAAAGCCTCAATGTAGCACAGCATGTATACATGTTTATATTAGAATGCTTGATTTCTTTTAATAAAGGATGTAGCCCTAGGAATGTTTTCACTTTTCCGTGCATGGCACAGTATCTTCCTAAGCCTTAACTTTTCTTTGCAGTCTATCATAATGAAATCCTTGCCTTATTGAAGGAAATGTCAAAACTAGCATTCATTTTAAAAGAACTGGGATTTCTGGTTGGGTGTGTTGCTTTTGAGGTGTTTATTTATCAGTTTTAAGTTTCAGTGAGTTCTGGTGTGAGAGTTTGTTAATTCTTCATTTTTTTTAGGTAAGGTTTCTATATATAGTGAAGTTCTACCAACTATAGAAAAACACTGGGTTTGTCAATTTATGCAAAAGTAAATTTAATTTTGATACTGAAACTATTGTCAAAATATTCTCCATGCTGATTGATTCAGTAACTATGATAGATTTTTGCTAAATTTCTTCTAAGGATTTGTAACAAACTGGGCTGCTATTAAATTAAAACATGAGTTCTATCTGAAAAAATATTTAACTTATTTTACAAATGAGATCCAGGAGGAGAAGTTTGTTTCTTCAGTTTGGTTCCTTTTGTTCATATTTGCATAAATGGTACTGGAATTTGCTTTGAGCAGTACTAAAAGTCCATGTAGATGCAAGTCCATCTGTGTAGAACTACTTGTAGAATCAAAACCTGTGCAAGTTTTCTGTTTGCATCAGGATTTATGGAAATGCCATATGTATTTGTATACCACATGTACCTTTTCCCCTTGGCCCCTCAAAATTGAATGTCTCCTGCAGGGAAGATCATTTTTATGCCTAGAATAGAAGCACCCTACTCTGATGTCTGATTTTTCTATTTAGGCTGCTGAGGGAGTCATTTGACTTATGGCTCATTGTTCTACATTCCTTAGGTGTCAACGATTATCTCTTTTTTAATGGTTTTATAGTTCCACTGATCAAGCTGACTTTGCTTCTTGCAATTTTAATGTCTTTTAACTACTCTTGGTCTTTCTCCTCCTACGAGAAAGCCTATCACATTGTTTTTAGCCTTTTTTAAAATATAAAACCACCAATGGAATCTAGTTTTCAGCAGCGGAATCTAGTTTTCAGCAGCGGCTAGGATTTCAGCTTTTGGATAAACAGAAAACAGATGGTTGGTGAGCTGAAGATTAGGCTTTGTCTCCTCTCTATGCAGCCATAACTGTGGAAAAATGTTTTTCTTCCTTCTTCCTTCCCAAAAACAAGGTACAGTCACATTTGAGAGCATATGGTGTAGAAGAAAATATGGTAACAGTATCTTTCATGCTGTAGCACATGAGTTATATGTAGCTTCCAGGCAATTTCTGTGCAGCTGTTTGTTTTGAGAGAGAAAACAATTTAATGACACATAATTATTTCAGCTGGATTACTGTAGGCAGATCACTGACTCTGGGATATGCACATCTTGAGAATTTTGTGTCCTGCAGCACTCTTCAAGAAAATGATGCATGGTTTGTAGCTATAAGGTTTCAGAGGTTTTGCCATCTCTCATGTATACCAACAAAAATAGTACCTGAATCTACTTTAAGTTCATTTTTTGTATTAGTTGGATTTCAAGAAGAAATTCGTACGTTTTTCATTCAAGCATATAAGGCAATGTACATATACTATTTGTAAAGTAATTACTATGGAACAGATTATTAGAACATACAACATTTTCCAGTTGTACAAAAAAACTACAACTTAATCAGAAGTACTATTGCAACTGTACAATCTGAAGTTATATTAAACACAAATCATGCTCTCAGAATTCCTATTTTAGTGTAGTGCTGATGGTTACAAACCATATACAGTCAGGTTACACATACATTTTTAAATGCATTCTGGCCATATTTATTCAGTATTTTCCTTATTGGCTAGAACAGTAAGAACCAACCAGACATCCTAAAGACATGAACAGAATGTTGTGGATGGCATTGTGTACCTGGATATAGCCTATTGATCTGTCCCTCCTCAAAATGCTTTCCCTCTAGCCACATTTTCCTCCCAAGATTAGTTGCTCGGATAAGCTTTTGCTTACAAATGGACAAACGAACAACACTTTGAGCAATCTTCTGTTTTGTGCATCAGATATCAGTGAAATTGTAGCTCATTGTTCTGTATCTATATATGTGTACTAATAAATGCTGAATTTATGCATCAGCTTCATTAGGACTGCTTTTTTCCTCTCCCTTTTTTTCCTTTTTCCTTAATCTTTTTTTATATTGTTATTAATTAATTTATCTTGCTCCCTTTGAAAAAAAAACTCAAAAACAAACTTGTGTTTTTGGCTCAGAACTCAGTCATTCTCAATTTTACTGAAATAGTGTCTTATTCCTACAGGTGCATTTGCTACAGTAATATACTCTATTGTGTTCTGTACTTATTTTCATTTTTTTCTTCTCAGTAATATGTAAAAGTGTTTATAAAAACTGTTTTCAACACAAAAAAACTCTATTTCAAATAAGTCATCTAATTATTAGGGTTTACCTACTATACAAAGACTTCACATCTATTACTGTTAAGGAGCATTAACTCTCTGTGCTCTTAGCAAGGGCACAAAGTAAAGACCGTAAATACTTTCCCTAAGTTCCTCTTCATTAATTTTAATATAGTATAATTATAGTGGTTGGCCATTCTTCCTCTTCAAATACTCTGCTAACAGATTTTATGTAACCAGTATTTTACTGTGCAATGTCAAAAATAATTGTTGTTTTCTTTTTATTATAGGAGTACACTATAGATGTCTTTTTCCGTCAAAAATGGAAAGATGAAAGATTAAAGTTTAAAGGCCCGATGAACATACTTCGACTGAACAACTTAATGGCCAGCAAAATCTGGACCCCAGATACATTCTTTCATAATGGAAAGAAGTCGGTAGCTCATAACATGACAATGCCTAATAAATTGCTACGAATCCAGGATGATGGAACTCTCTTGTACACCATGAGGTACAACCTTTCACATAATTATGTTCACAAATATATATTTCTCTGGCAGGTGACTTCAAACAAGTCCATTCCTTTACCTGCGCCTGGCTTTTCCTAGCTGTATAATGAACTAAATGATACTGAAATGCTTTTTAAGGTGCTTAGAGCTACAACTCAAGAGCCATGTATATGCATTAGGTGGTATTAGCCGTTTACCACCTCCTATGACTAGGTAATACAGTGATTAAACTGGCACATGAAGTCTTATTACTATACAAAGTGAAAGTTGTAGAAGTCGTTCTTGTGTAATTGACAGGTATGTTGATCACCACTTTACTATTTAGATTATTGGCCACATACAAAGTCATCCTTATTAAAAAAAAAAAAAAAAATTAGCTCATTCAGAGGAAATTAACTCTAAAACTACTGCCCAGCCACACTGTAGGTAGAACTGTTATTGTAAGTAATAGCAAATATTTTATGTCGAATTTTAAAGTTATATTTTTACATACTATGTCTGACGAGTTTCCAGGAGAAATGTAAATGTACATTTAGAACAAATGAATATGATCAATGTAGTTAAAAAATAGTAAAAAACCCACATATTTTGTAGCTAGAAAGTGCCTTACTATGAGGTCTTTTTTCCAGTTTCATATTTCATGTTACTCAACTGATTAGAACATTGTATCTAAACTGCCAGAAAACTGGGGGTTTTTTGTTTTGTTTTTGTTTTGAGGTATTTAATGGAATGTATTGATTGTGACAGAGAATTTAATTCCCATCTCTGGTAAGGCTTTTTTATCTATAAAGCAATCAGGAACTATGTAGTCTTCCCCACAAGCCCTGCCAATGTATATGAAGCCTGATATACCATACAACTCTCAAAGAAATATAGCCCTGAGATTTGCAATTGCATATCTCAACTTGGAGTACAGTTGATTTAATTTTTCTGTGTACCTTCCTAATTGTGAACTTTGGGGAAAGTGAAATTATATTTAACCACTAAAAATCTGTAATGGATAGGACACATGCTTTAATATAGCTTATAGTTTATTTTATAGTCTGCAATGACTGTGTAGTATTTTTACTTTTTATAACTTGCTGTACCCAGACATAATCTGTATTAAGAATTTGCCCATTCATGAAGTTCTTTGCTTCATCAAAACCTATCTAGTCAAAAGATCCAAAAGAAGTTGTTTCTAAAATATTTTTGGTCATTTTTCCCCCTGAGTATGATGTATTTACTGTTAATGTATTATTCATATGTATGTATTATTTGCATTTATTATTAGTTGCAGGAGCAGGCAATTATTTTGGGTGGAGGGCCACTTACTGAGTTTTGGCAAGCCATTGAGGGCCACATGACAGTCAGCCAAGGGCAGATAAATATTAATTTTCTAAATTTTTTAGGGGCCCTACGGACCAGATAGAATGGACTTATTATAATGTATTATTTGTATTATTTACTGATAACGTATGTACTGTTAATGTAATATGTATTGTAACTGTAACCTGTAAGAAGCAAGGATTTTTTTTTATGATAACCTTTATTTGACTAACTGTATAGTTGGGAGAGAGATTGGGTAAACTTTTGGGCACAAGGTACCTGTGACAGGGAGCCTGAGGCTCCTGACACTTTAAGGGGAGAGAATACTGCAGTTGAATAGAAGATAGCTGTGAGAGAGCAGGCAGCCAGGAATCCCTGCATCTAAGCAGGGAGCTGTATTAAGGAAGAGGGGAACACCTGTGGCCAGTCGAGAAATTGCAGTCTAGAGTAGGCTGACTAGAAGGATTGGCAGCTGGGAGGTCAGCTAACTTAATGAGCTAGCTGCCAGCAAACAGATAGGTGGCAGACAGGCAGGCAGCCTGGAAGCAAGGGACTCAAGCTACTGAGCTAAGCATAGCTGAGAAAACAGGTAGGTCATAAAACATAGGAAGGGAATGCCTATGGGGACCTGCAGGGTCTCATAACCAGACAGGGCAGGGCTTAGGAGGTGCATAAAGACAGTGCATAAGGAGCAGGGTGGTGGTATGGCCCTGCAAGCTACTAGGGAAGGAGCTCTCGACCAGGAAATCTGTTGGGGAGTGCCTCGCTGGCTGCTGAGCTGTCTTGGAGCTACTAATAAGGCTCTGAGGGCTTGCAGGGAGGGAAGTGGCCTGGAGTAGAAGTACAGTCAGTGAGTTGAGGTTATGTTGGGACCCAGTGAGGGGATTGTTTTGTGTTATAGGCAGAATGATTTTAGTTTTAGTTAGAGCCAGAGGGATTACCTTTATAGTATAGTTTATACTGGCACTTTTGGTTTAGGGCTATTGGGAAGGTGGAGGTCCCAGCTGTGCCTGAGGATATACAACTGCCTTGGGCCCAGCCAGGGTTGGGGCTTAAATAGTGAAAGTAACAGAGAAAGGGCCAGGGGTCCAGTGTCTGAGCAAGGTACAAACAGGGTCAGGATCCTGCAGCCCAAGAGGGGTGAAACAAGTGCCCATAAGGAGCAAGAACCAGGGTCAAGGATCCATAGCCCCAAGAGGGGTGAACTCATAGCCCAAGAGGGGCAAGAACTAGGGTCAGGGACCCATAGCCCAGGGCAGGTAAGATCAGCTGAGAAGGGCAGAGACCAGAGGCCTAAGGCCCAGCAGCCAAGAAGAGCCAATTCTGGGGCCAAGGGCCCAGAACAAGAGACACCAGGGCCAGAAGCCCAGAGATACTGATGACTAACAGGTCTGAAGTTGAGAGGGCTGGATCTGAATCAGCGGGTCAGGGCTGAAAACTTGTAGCCAGAGAAAAGGGAGGCTGAATCCTCTACAAGGGACTGAACAGTACTGAGTAAAACCTGCAAAGCATAGGCATGGCTGTAGAGGAATAGCCCATAAGGCAATGGAGCCATGTACAGGCCAAGAGGGCCCATCTAGCAAAGGGTTGGGTTTGGGCTAGTGGGGTCCAGGAGGTGAGCCACTGGTGAAGGTAGGACTAAGCCATATTTTTGGACTCTTGGGCAGCTTCCCTTTGAAAAGTCAACCATTACATCAAGGTGTGGCAGGTGCAGAGCTAGTAGCCTTTGCGCCACTAGGAGGCATCATGACTAACCTTGGACCTGGTCCTGCTGCAGTACCCTTCCACACATCTGAGAAAAAAAGCAGAAACAATGTGAACTAAATAATAAAGAGCTACACTGTTTTGGGGTTTTTTTAAACAAGACATTTTTTCACACTTTCCATTTAAGATGTCAAAAAAATGTTGAAAACCTTTGTGGAGCATAGTCCTTAGGCAAATCAGCGGTGCTTATATGCTTTTCTGACAAGTTTATAGTTGCACAACACGTACCTCTGAAGAAATGACTGTTCTGATCAACTTAGTTATATAATTTATATTTTCATTTAAATGTCCTCCTTCATAGTTTTGAGGTCAGCTGTTTTAAGTTTTTGATGTGATAAGTCAGTGTCTTCTGAAGGACCACATAAAAGGAAAGAAGCAAGAGCTGATTTAAATTTTAATTAGTTTAACATAACACTGCAATTTCATTTTCTAAATCAGCATGAACTGTGTTCACTTTTGTGGAATTGAATTTCTGGTCTTGTAATTGACTTAAATATATAGCGGTATTTTGCCTTTTAGGCTTACAGTCCAAGCTGAATGTCCAATGCACTTGGAGGACTTTCCTATGGATGCTCATTCATGCCCTTTGAAATTTGGCAGCTGTAAGTACATAGCTAGCAGTACAGCCTGTGGCTAGTGAGAATCTTATATTGTTCAACATCACTGTGCATTCCTCAGGCTTATGGCATACTAGCATTTTACTAGATTATGTATTTCCCCTTTTCCTTCTCTTTCTCTTTCTTCTTCTTCTCCTTTTTTCTTCTTTTAGTGTTCTTTCTCATAATGTATTTGAAAATTCCCTAGACTCCATTTAACAAAGATTATTGTGAATCTAATTCACTTCTGCATTATTCTGTTTTCACATTGCTATAACTGTATTTTTCAATAATGTGGGGAAATAAGCAATACATGAATGGTACAAACATACATGTTGTATTTGTGAAGAGTGAATTAAAGCCTTCTAAACAAAGACAGATACTAGAAAATATATCTATGAAGTTTCTAAAGCTTCTAATTGTCATAGCTTAGAATTGAATGTATTTATTTTCTCTTGTTGTTAATTAGTGAAGACTTCATCAAATAACATCTTGAATTAGAAAGTTTCATTGACTAGAACATTTTGCTGTTACACAGGTGAGGCCTGATCTTGATTTTGGTAGTACCGGTTTGATGCCATCATAGTTTCATTATCATTAGTGGCATTATTTCTGCTATAAGTGAGATCAAAAGCAGGCCTACCAGTTTTAGAAGCCAGAAAATTTGGGGGGGCGGGGTGCCTATTTTCCTCATAGTAGGGTTAGAGTGTTGTTGTGTAGCTGTGATGTTCCAGGACAGTAATACCACTTAACCTTTTTGGCTGGATGGGCAGTACCCAGGCTGGCCGCGAGTTGGATCTGGCTGATGGTCCGGATCCAGCATGGGGTGATTGCAACAAGGTCCCATCTGGCCATGCAGAAGGGGGCAGGGGGCATCCCCGTTCCAACCTGGCCCCGTGAAGGGGAGGAGGCATGGCTCAGCCCTGTGGGGGAAAGGTGTGTATCCTAGGCCCAACCCAGCCCCACAGGGGATATTGGGCATGGCCAGGCCCCATGACAGGATGCATGACGTAGAAGCAACTGGGCCTCATGAGAAGAGAGGGTGTGGCCCAGCCTTATGGGGGGAAGGGACCATGGCCCATTCCTAACCCAGCCCCATGAAGGGAAGGTGCTTGACCCAGCCCCATGTGAGAGAGGGGGCATGGCCCAGCCACATCTTTCCTGGGGGAGGGGAATGGCACTGTCTCATCAAGCCACAAGGGTGTGAGGGGGTGTGACCTGGCCCCAAGCTGCTGTTCAGAGCTTGGGGTTTAGGAATTTAGCAGCTGGGGAGGGTGGCTGTATTTATTATCACTGCTCCTCTGCTGCCAAATTTCTCAATCCATAGGGAGCCCCGCGGGCCAGATACCTATGGCTCCGTGGGCTGTATTTGGCCCATGAGCTGGAGGTTGAGTGCCCCTGGTCCAGGAGATGTATGAAAGCCAAGGTTTTTTATGTTATCTTTTACTGGACCAACTGGATAGTGGGGAGTTGTGTTGGACAAGCTTTTGGGCATGAAATACCCTTCCCCAGGGCTAAGAAAGAGGTGGACACAGACTGAGCTATATAGCAAAGAAACAACTCCATGTAAATGCCAACATCTTGCCTTTCTTGAGAAGTAGTTCACACTCTGCTGGACTCAGAAGAGGTAGGAATTTTCAGGGTGCTGTTTAATATCATTTTAGCAGCAGGATCACTAGAAGTACTATTCATCACCACCTGGACATTTTCAGAGCACAGTGCACTCTGCCCATGTTCCTGATATCCTCTTCCCCAGAAGTGTATGAGGAAAGACGGGAATAGATTTCACTGTTTATGACTTCTGGGGATACCTCCAATATATCTATGAGGCTGGGTTAGAAACTGTCATCCTTTACCTATGATTTCTCCAGTATTTTTAATTTTAAATTGAAATTGCAAAGCCCGGCACTTGGAATGGAATAACTCCATGCACAAATACAAACTGGGGAATGACTGCCCAAGCTGTAGCATTGCTGAGTAGGACCTGGTGTTAAAGTGCTCCATAAGCTAAATATAATCTTATGGTGTGCTTTTGTTGAAAAAAAACCAGCAAGATACTGGGTTATACTAACAGGACTTGCTTTCAAATCAAGGAAAGTGGTTCTTCCACTGTATTTGGCACTGGTGAGATCTCACTTGAAGGACTGTATTCAGTTTTGGGCCCCACACTTCAAGAAGGTGGACAGTTTGAAAAAAGTTCAGTGCAGGGCAACAAAAAATATTAGGGGCCTTAGAGGCAAGACTTGTGAGGAAAGAGTGGAGAAGATAAGACTGAGGGGGGATTTAATAATTGTCTTCAAATACCTGAAGGGTGATTACAGAGAGGATGAAGATGGGCTTTTCTCAGTGGCTGTAAGGGACAGAACTAGGAGCAATAGGCTCAAAGTGCATCAGAGGAAATTTAGGTTGGGGATTAGGAGGAATTTTCTGACTATGAGGGTGGTCAAGCATTGGAACAGGCTGCTTAGAGAATTTGTGGATTCTCTATGCTTGGAAGTGTTTTAGGGCAGGGTGGACAAACATTTGGCTGGGGTGTTTAGTCAGGGATAATTCTGCCTTGAGCAGGGAGCTCGACTAGATGATCTTGTGAGATCCCTTTCAGCCCTACATTTCTATGACCCTATCCCACTAAAATTGCCTTTCTTCATCCTTCTTAATCAGCTAACCCAAAATGAGAAGGTTAGATCAAGACTGTATTTGTAAAGATTGCCTGTGTGAATCTGTGTGATTATCCATGTGAATTTCTCAGGCAATGACTTTCCAGCAGCTTGTTTCCAAGAAGATGACAACACGCAGTCCTTCAGAGAAATTAAAAAATCTCAACCGAGTACCTTCTTGTTAGATTTTCAGTCATTTGGGGTATGGCTTTTGTATGACAACTCTCCTTTAGGGCCTCTGGAGCTTTCTTGAGTTGAAAATGACTGACTCCCACTTAGAAGAGAGTGCATTTTTTTTCTTCACCTGCATTACAGCCACAGGATCAGACTTAAAATTTACCTGTCACAGTCCATCAGACTCTGAAAGTGATTTCTTCCATCAGTGTTCTGGCTTCTTACTTCATGCTCCATTTGATTAGTGGGGTATTAGACTAGGGAAGCTTTCTGAAAATTCTCAGCTTTTTCCTGTGTCCTCATGAAGATACATGAATGCTGTCTGAACTACAATTTTACTTAGCTTTTCCTTTTAGTTTATGTTGCCAGAGCTATTAGATTCCTAATAGAATGTCGATTTCCAATGAAGTCCTTGGCAAGATATTTTTTTTCCCTTTTGTTTTCCTCAGGAGTGCATTGTGAAAGCAGCCCAATAGTGTCAGTATGCCCTTGTGCCATAGAGATGCCAATTTAGGGAATGAACTTTAAGGAAGAAACACAGGCCAATGGACTTCAGGGCAAGGAACCCTGTAAAAGTGTTAGAACTCTTACCTACCCATATTCATATATGAACTTCAGCTAATCAAAAAATGTTTGAAGAACATGTCAGACATACAGAAAAAAAATCCTCTAAAATATAATCTGCATGTAACATATTATTGCTACTTTCACCCATTTAAATTCAGATTTTTGGGCTCAAGCAATATGTTCTCTCCTAAATTCTCTAACCACTTAGTAATTTAGAGAATGGTTTAGTAATACATTGCTTGTAAATTAATAGCAGTGATGTCATTTATTTTGATCAGTGAGCATTTTAAATCATGATCACATGTAGTGTGAGACTTGCATAAATTCATAACTGCAGTATTCATAAGCAAATTTTAAATGGCCAAGCATTATTTTGTCTTGTCAATCTTTGGATACTATGATGGTATTTTGAAGATAGTTCCTTTTATTTAGACAAGTTCAGAAGTTGCAAATTGTGGACACACTTTCTTTTTAACTACTGACAAAACATTTTTTCAATATTTCTCATAGATGCATACACAACTTCAGAAGTGACCTACATTTGGACTTACAATGCATCTGATTCAGTACAGGTGGCAGAAGATGGCTCTAGACTGAATCAGTATGATCTTTTAGGCCAAACTATTGGAAAGGAGACAGTTAAATCAAGCACAGGTTAGTAACATTCATTGGTGTTGGGAGAGAGGAAATCACAAATTTTGGGATTATTCCTATGGATTAGTAGCCCCTGATCCTACATGCATATGGGTGGAATCCTGCATTTTCATTCAGCCCCATTAATTTCAGAAGGGCTTTCTGTGGGTACTGACGTCTGCCAAGACAGCATAGAGGCCCATGCTAAACAGTGCTTTGAGGTAATTGTAACACATATAACTCAAGCTAGATGCTGACCCCAGTTTGTTCTCACTGAACTGTTTTCAAAACTTTCCTAGAATTCAGTTGGGAGTACGATACAGTTCCAAAGTCAAAAGTTCATTTATATTCAGGATGACTTTTCTACCTAAAGTAGTTCTCCAGACTATGTCTGTAGCACATTTGTTTCAAGTAAATGGACCAGGCTGCCTTTTATTGCCAGGAAAGTGAATTGCCTATGGATAGTAAGGTTCTGTTTAATATTTTTTTGTTTCTGTTTCACATATTAGGTGAATATACAGTAATGACAGCTCATTTTCACTTGAAGAGAAAAATTGGTTATTTTGTGATTCAAACTTACCTCCCCTGCATCATGACAGTCATTCTTTCCCAAGTGTCATTTTGGCTAAACAGAGAGTCTGTACCTGCAAGGACAGTCTTTGGTAAGTATACTGAGGAAGACACAGTTTGTTTGTTAGTCAACTCCTACAGCAAAATATTTCCAGTAGAAGCCGCTTTAGTCCTTTCTGAATTTCATTATAGAAAGTGACAACATGCTGTTATATCTAGTCAAAACCGAGTAAGAATGGCACACAACATTCACTTTGTCTTCCACAAAACTCTAGTTCAGGGGTTGGCAACCCCTGGCACAGGTGCCAGAGTGTGGCACGCAAAGGCATTTTGCTTGGAATGTGAGCCTCAGGGCAGATGGTGGGGAAGGGGGCAGGGCTGCGCTGCCACCATAAGAATCAGGCCCTTCACAGCTCCTCTGCCATCTGCCCGGCATGCCAACATCTTACAAATTGCAGTTGTGGGTGTTTATGGCACTCTGCCCCAAAATGTTGCCAACCCTTGCTCTAGTTAATGCTATAAAGTTCCACAAGGGGCTGTCATCAGGAAAAATAAGGTCAAATCCTAGCCCCATTTTAGTCAACAGGAGTTTTACCAGTGCCCTCTATGGGACCAAGATTTTCCCCCATATATACTTATGCAGTCAGCAAGCAGATGTGACTGTAGCCTGTTGACAGTTTCAAGGTCTACCTAAGTCTGGCCCTATTTATTAGTACTTCTTCTGTACCCTACTTCCCTCTGTCAGGCTTAATCCTATCATTATCTAATCTTTGTATTTGGCTACCTATGTGTTATGATACTAATCCACCTATGACATTTGACATTTGCTGGTATTCACTAAAATAATTTTGGTGGTTTATTGTATTCTTTCCTCTTGCCTTTTGCTTGTTTTAACATTTTTAAACTCTTTGAGGCAGGTGCTCTTTGTGTTTCTTATATACACTTTGAACTTTATCATATTAATACATGCTATTTATTTATTGTAAAATATAAGAATGCCATGCATGTATTTGACAAAGAATATACTACAAGGAAGATCATTTAAATGCAGAAAAAATTGAAAGCTTTTAATTTCATATCTATCTAGATAAGACATTAAAATTATGCTTATTATGCTTATAAACATAATGGTTATTTAAATATAAAGAAGGGAATAGTATTGGATTCTGTTAAGTATTCAGACTCTGTTTTGTGAGTTCCTTTCATGACCCCTGTTCAGTAGCTTAATGTGCAACAAGAACTATCTCTACTCATGCTGTTTTTCAAAGTTTAAAGTTGTCTAGTAATCTTCAGTGAGGATTTTCTTTCAGTTAACTTCATGAAATCTCACAGACGCTGGTACAACATTAAATATTTGAGTACACTTCACTGTGAAAGAAAATAACTCCAAATTACTCAAAAAGATGATTTCATGTTTGAGAGGAGTTGCTTCTCTTCTTCTTTCCTATCCTTACATAACGTACTCTCACATCACAAGCTAAAATTAAGGACTTGGGATAATGAGGAGGTTTGCAAAATTGGGCTCTTTAATCCCTTTCATCTATGACATGAATTAAATGTTGCTGACCTAAACTGCCTCTAGTGAATTGTGATCAAATGTTATGGTATTTTTGTTTTACTTCTGAATATCTCGTGCAGAAAGTTTTAACATTGATAATTAAATAAGTCTTGAATATGTTATTTCTAGCAGATGTATTTGAGAAGTATTTGATTGTTCCTCCAAACTGAGTTACTTGAGGTATAGCAATTTGTTCAGTTCAGCATTGTAACTTATTTCATTTGGTAAGGTTCTTCCATTATGCATTTAGTGTCAACAAAATTATTTTGTGCAAGTATTATATTCTTGCTTAATTTTTAACATGTGATAACATTTTAAAACATTTCATGTATGTGAGTGGGATAACAGAGCATAAACATTTTCCAGATTTGAAAATTGCAAGTCAGTAGAAATGACTTGTGTTGATGCATGTACAGTAGAACTGGGTGAGAATGTCAGAGTGAATATATCAAAATTATGCCCTGAAATATTAAATCTTTAATATCTTGATCTATTCCCGATAAGGTCAGGACTGTAGTTGATGGTGCTGATTATTTTTCTAATACATTGACCGTGGTACAGAAGTTTATATTCATCAATACGTCTATAAGGCCTCCAGCAGACATTATATTTTGTTATATATTTTATGTGCAACAAATCTTAACGTGCTGAACATTAAACCAGTTTATCTCTGGTTAAAAAAAATAGTAGATCAGCCACAAAGAAGTTGATTGTTGAAATATAGAAAGAGCCCAAAAATCTGTGCACTGCCTGTGGAAGCATTCCCTAATTCAGTCATTGTGGAACAGAATTGTAAGCCTGTCCTCCAAAGACACTTAGGCAGTCCTAGTATAAAGAGCATTGCAAAGGTGGGGACCAATTAGAAGATGTGTGGTAGTGCATGGCTGCAGCATTCAGTGCTGCAGAAATTCTGTAAAGTGCTGTAGCCCACTGGTTAGCCATTCAGGCTCTTGCAGACAGGTTTTCAGGACTGGCTAGTAGGGTTGTGCAAAGCTTTGGTTGCTGATTCAATTTGGCGGAGATTTGGCCTGATTCGGCAGCCAAATCTCCAAATCCAAATCTAATCAGGAGATCCTTTAATCTCGCTGAATCTAATCAGAACCCTCTTAATCGATTCAGAGAGATTCGGAATGATTCAATGATTCAGACGTAGACAAAGCTTTAAATGTTTTTTCTACATACCTCAAGGTACCGGGCATAGCTTGTGAACACTGCAATGGTGGGGTGGCTGAAGCATCCCACAGGAGCGGGGTGGGGGACACATGCTTGATGGTGAACCCAGAAGTGGACCAGAAGTACTTTGGTCCACTTCTGGGTTCACCATCAAGCATGTGTCCCCCACCCCGCTCCTGTGGGATGCTTCAGCCACCCCACCATTGCAGTGTTCACAAGCTATGCCCGGTACCTTGAGGTATGTAGAAAAAACATTTAAAGCTGTGTCTCTGCCCAAATCACTGATTCTCAGAATCAGCATCGAATCTTCAGATTCATATTTGGCCGAATCGAATCGGGACAGTGATCCAAAGCAATGAATCGAATCACTGTCCCCAGTGCTGGCCAAATCCAAATCGAATACGGCCTGTTTTGCACACCCCTACTGCCTAGACCCCACTGGGCCTCATCAGCTCTCAGAGCAGTGGGGGAGCCAAACCTTTTGGCCTGTGTGCCACAAGGTAAGCCATGCGCCCTCCCTGAGTGCCACCCTGATCCCCTTCCCCTGTCCTATCTGCTGCTTTGCTTTCTGTTCCTTTTCCTATGTGTTGCTCTGCTATCTGTTCCTTGCCTTATCTGCTGCTGTGTTCTTTGCTCCCTGACTGATCTTCCATGTGCCACACAGACAGACATTACACACAAACTGGTTTAAGTGATCAGAAACTGGTTTAAACCTGTAACAGAACAGACATTCAGTGCACATAAACCATTTTCAAAATGGCCAAAACCAGTTTGAGATAAACCTGGTTGAATGTAGTATCAGATTTAACTGATTTGGCTCAAACTGATTTATGCAATGTCTGTCCCAGACCCCTTACTGGTTTAAGATAAACCAGACACTCCCAGCATCCTGGCATGCTCTTTGGGCTGTGGGGGAGAGGGGCTCTCTGTTCTAGCCACAGGGCTGCCCCCACCCCTCTGCTCTCTAGCCAGAGCAGGGACCGACCCTAGCACAGACATTGGCTGCCATGGTCCTGTTAAGGCAAAGTGGGCAGAGAGGGGGCTTATTTTTCCCTCCTCCCCTCTTACCCCACCTCAGCTGTGGTCAGTCTGTCTGC